TGAAAATAGCTTCTATTAAAAACACAAACATAGTAGGTCGCAAAACATATACGAACATTTCAGTATGTGTTTTGCGATGTGCTAGGTTCAAAAAATTAGGCTTTTCATGATGCGCACTGCTTTGAATCTCTGCATCGTAATTGAGACTCACTGAAAGATATTTAATAGTACTAAAATTGAAACGATTTTTGATCCTTTTCCTATCTATCAGTATTGGGCTACCAACCTTAGCCCTATTCAGCGCTGCCGATTTTCTGAGTGATCGAACCCCGCTTAGCAAAGAAACCATACTCGTGAACTATCTGAGCAACAGCTCCCATACTTGTGCTACTGGTATGGGCGCACCAATCATCCCAGTAACGGAGGCGTAGATTTCCTATCGCAAGGGATTTGTGTGGTTTCTATTCTAAGAAGTGTATGAAGATGTACATCTCGGTGAGGACCAACAGCCGAGAACGAATTGTACTTCATTCCCACTTGAAAATGTCTATTTGACAAAAAATTCTGGGAACAGCGTCTCCCCTGCTTTAGGAAAATTTCTTCACCAGTCGACTGTTGCTGCCGAAAATGTTTCTGCACTGTAATGAAAAATAAGCGGAAGCGAATTTACATTCGCTCTTTTCTGTTATTTCATTTCAAAATACAGGCGCAGCCAATAGCTCGTCTCTATGAGATGCTCAGAAACATTTCACAGGTTCAAACTGCTTTTTCTCAGTCTGGTAGCAACGTATTGAAGGTTGACAGCTGCATTAACTACAGAAAACTCCATGGACACCTCGAAACAGACAATGAGCATGATTTAAATGAGTCTGATATATGCCGTAGAATGAACCACAGAGAAATTTGGTATCTATCAAGGTAAAAATCGGGTCGGATACCGAGGGCAAAATCGCAATCGAAGTGACGACAACTCTTCATATTAATGCTGTTCAAGACAGTTGGAGGCATAACAACCTCGAGAGACATACCACAGAAAGAAATTTTGCTTGGCCACCACGGGTAAATCTTCAGTGTTCACTTTATGACGTTTTTCCGATCCCTAAACCTGATTCTTTTCGAAGCCTTGTATTTCTCCCATTTCTCCCCGAAATCCGCGATTTCTTCGCCTTTTGTGCTACTCTGGACTATCACTTCCATCATTCGTCTAATACTGGAGTCCCCAAAATTATCGTGAACTGTGTCTTCATGCTCACTCTGTGTATGTTGCAAAGTACATACTCTGTCCCGGGACTCAAAGTCAAGAGTTGGGCTCCTTAACAAGGTCAGCAAGATCACAATTCCGAACTCGAGCAGTGAACAAAACGTCGTCATTACAACGAATAGGGCTGACTACAATTGCTCAGGTTCTTGAGCTCAGATCATCATTTGCGTAGAATGTGATGAAATATGCTTTACTAAGACCAACTTTTTGTTAGCTCATCATCGCGACAATAACCAGAGTTTTATTTGACTCTCATTATATTCTTCGTTCCCCTTTTTTACTCATTGTTCGAATGTCTGTTCATCTCCCGCTTCGTAAAATTGTTTATTTGTACGGTAAACAACGAAGGTGTACGAAATAAGATTTCCGAAACCGCTTAAGCTTCATTAGCGTTCGTTAAGGCCTTGTGCTACGTCTTGGGCGTGGGAACTTTTGCACGATGGCACTTAATGAAGGTTACCTCGCATCTAGGCGTGAAGCGACTTCAATTGGATGCAATGCGATCGTCATTATGCTGCCATGTTATCGTCGCCGAACAAGTTGAAGGTACATAGCGGATAGAAATAATTACAGCATAGAAGTGAAGCTCCTATAGAAAACTGGGTTTCTCATAGAAAGTAATCCAGTACCACTGTTTTCAAATGCTTTATTTTTAGACGGAATGCAGGATGAATAAGCTCAATATATTTCTAGGAAAATTCCTGTAAAATGAAAAAAACAGTTCAGTTTTCTTTTTGTTTTTTTCAATTTTCGATTATCTAAAATATCAAACAACCTTTACGAGGCGATGTAAATGTTCAATACAAATTATAACTGCTTGTTATTAACTACTTTCTAATAAAACTCTACTTACTTACTGTTATCATTCTTATCAGTTAACAACACACTTATTAATAACGACATGAAGGCAGCATAATGACCAAGAAGTCGTTGCAGATGATTAAAGTTGCATAGTGTTTGGGTACGAGATAGACTTAACTAGGTGCGATCGTACGAAAGTTCGCACAAATACCTCTTATACTGAGTTCACAGTGATGTTGTCTTATAAATTATAACAGGAAAAACAACTCAAACAAGTAGAAGGATAGATTGTACCCCTTAGCACGAAACAATCCCTTTTTACGACCCGCTCCCGCATTCGGCTTTCATTCAAAACCGCTATGGAGTTTCGAATGCTTAGAGGGCCAATTTGAGACACGGTTCACGGTAAATTTGGGATATCTAGTTTTGGACGAGTAATGGGAGTGGTAGTCCAGAGTAGTGGAGAATGAAAAGAGAATGAAAGACCTTAAAAAAATAAAATTAGGGGCTGGAGGAGAGCATTATGGAAGAAGGAAAAAAGCTGCATAGAAGGGGTTCTTAGACGATAGCGCGCCATTGCACACAGCTGAGTGCATTCCGATGCCTGCGTGAAATGTGTGGGTCCCTTTGCGAATGGTGCAACTTTTAAAGCTATTGGAACGCTCGTCCGCCTTGGGTATGTAGGTCGGCTAAGCCGGTCTTGGGGGCCCTTATTACGCCTTACCTTAACCATTTTTCGACCGACAGCATCCCTCAAGCTGTCCTTGGGGGTCGCAGATTCATCAAAGCAAGAAATCTTAAAAACCATTTTTAGCCTGAATTGTGCCGTATGACTTGTGACGGCCAGTCAGTGCACAAGCCAATGCGCTAATCCTCCTAGACGAGTCTGCAACTAAACAACCAACCTTGAAGGAATATAAGGCTTGGTTGGCGATGGCGAATATCTCCCCGAACACATCCACAAAAACAAGGCCTTTCGTAGGACATCATATTATACATCTGGAACTGTCAAAGTCGTGATTCACCATATGCATGATATACAGCTCGCTTCCTTGCATCATCTGACCTTCCTCTTAATCACCAGTTATTATTACCCTCGATTCAGTTCCAAAACCATGCTTGCGCGATAGTGCCCCAGTGCTACTCCACCACCTCGTCCTGAATAAAAGGATAGGCGCAGTATTGGAATCGCATTTGAAGATGGTCGTAGGCCGTCAAGTCGTATAGAAAGCCTTCGCGATTTTATACATATCTTTTGTCATTTATCCGATCATTTTATGATTCCATTGGGGTAGATGTTCCGAAGTTCATCGACAAATGTTGGCCAAGTTAATTTTGGCCGACCAATTTCTTGCTATCAGTCAGTTTTGCATAGATCGAAACAGATGATAATCAGTTACTACATTCCACTTAGTCTTTCCTCGAAAATTTTGTCATGTTCCTGCAGCGATTTAGCTTGTCTTTTTATGTGAGAAAAAACATCCCATACAGTACTTCTTCATTCGTTTACCTCCTTTTCGAGTTGATATATCTTTTCACGAGAGCATAGAGTAGAACTTCTGACAAAAATGTGAGCGGGAATATTACATTCTAAGCATACATTTGTTCGAGACGGTCGGGGGAGCGATGCTTGGGGCAAGGCACATATGAGAATCAGTCACATTGTGAAGATAAACAGACCGTCTTGCCTAGCACTGGAATGATATCAGCAATCCTTTTCTTCCAAAACTATGGTTTCGCCCTACTGCAGCAACGGTGTAGTAGATTTATCAGATGGCAAATTGTCCATACCCTCGATTTGATACACTTCTCGACCCTATGAACGGGTCACTCAAGTCGGTTAGATGCTTGAAAAAGTGCTTTCACCTTCTATATTTTACTTCCATCAAAAAATCACAACTGAAAGAATATTCAGTATGCTTTCGTAAATAAATTTTGATGACCGACCTCAATGATTGGAAAAAGGTGCTAAATGTGGTGCTTTGCCAACGCCTCCCATACAACCTATCTTGAATACGCGCATTGCAAAGGGTTGAATGGGCACAATAATTGTCTCTCGAAGATCAAGCGTTTCAGTAAAATGATGTGCACTGTAATACTTTTTATAATAGTACAGCAGCACCATAATACACTAAGAGGAAGATCGGATTCAGAACCGGGAATCAGAAAAGAGGAAGCAAGAGAAGGAAGCATGCGTGATAAAAGTAAATGAGAAGATTGTTCATAATATGACCGATCTATGAGGAAAAGTGCGAAAAGGCAGCAATTGTCTATTGGTAACACTACCAGTTTGAGTTTGATACGAGCCGAACCCACGTTTATGAATAATTTTTAGCTATGCTTCAATTAGTCTCTGCAATAAGAAGAGAATACGGAGGTGAACCAATTAAGCTCATCAGATTGGCCATACACAGGTTTATAAGAGAAGCATACCAATGGGATAGTTTTAAAGCAGTGTCAGCAAATGAAGAAGGCTGTGATTAAGGTTATATTTGAGTCTTTTCACCGCTTGTTAATTCCAAACCATCATAATCAGAGAAAGGCGTTAACCGTGAAAGTTTCTGACGAAGGAAGCGTCTTTATTCACTGAGCAAATGCTCACAATCTCTCTCCAACCTGTCCCTGCTACCACATGTGTGAGTCACTTTTTTTATAAAAAAAATTGTGGTCGTTTTCAAAACTTCACATTCATTGTGAGAGTGGAGCCGTTGAGTCATACTTTTCTCAGAGTAGACCATGCTTGTAAGACAAGACGAAATTCTAGAAAATCGGACATGGTAGTTAGGTCACTATTCTTAAAGTTGAACTTGAACGTTGAACTCACCTGGCAAGCAGCAACTTGCCCGAGTCTTTTTCGTTGCGTCTTATAGTCTTCCAGTAGTTCTTCAGAGTAAATAGTTCGCGAAAGTTTGGATAAGGTAAGCGCGAGTCGACTGTTGGCGCTTCGGCTGCCGGAGTGTCGGAATCGCCTTTCTGCGCATCGGGCGGCGGTGGCGTTTGCTTGGCGCCAGCACTCGATCCCATTTACGACAATGGGACACGGGCGACACATACACAGAATACGTTTCTGGAGTCGCCGTGTAAGCGCTCCTGACGCGGATGCTGTCGACCACGCCTACCTCCTGGGACCTCCGCTTGTCAAGGGAGACCAGGAATGTGGTCAATTGTATCTGCGTTTGTCTAATAGCTCCGTGTGAAAGTACTTCGAAGCATTTTCGTTCACCTGCGTTGAAAGGAATTACCCACAGAATTACGTCATGTTGAGGATAATCAATGAATGACATATAATCACGTCCTCGTCGGCAAAATCTTGAAAGCAGCTCTATAGCAACGGAGCTGACGAATTCACAAGGGAAATAACTCAAACTCGAATCAAAATAACGAGTTATTTGCAACATATTTGAGGTGCTCTGGCGGTAAAACTTAAGTGCGAGAAATACTACGAGGTAGTAGCATAGTTCTCCCATCTATTAAATTTCCTATATATTCTTTGGAATAGTACAAAACAAGGTTTGCACCGTCACCGCTGATGGGACTAGAATAATGATTAGGGCTGCGAGCGAACATCATAGCATCATCGCTGGCTTACTCCATCACACATACAGTAAAAACATAGAAAAATGATGACAGAGTCGGAATTTCCAGAGAATAAAAAAGACAAAAACAAGGTCCTCACATCCTAACGAATCCTTAACAGTCATTATTTCGCATTTTTCGTATACAGCTTCCTTTCCTCTACAGTCTTAGCTAATACTAGTAACGAATACATAGTTGCCTTCTCGCCAACACGTCAGCGCGTCTCATGGCTTTTCATAAATGAATTTCCTTGAACATAGCCGGAAGCGTAATCGCCTTAGCAACGCAGTAACCGCCCTACCCCAAAAAAAAATGAAGAACCGTTCTCTCACTCCAACTAATGTGAGCCGTCTATTGAGAGTGCACATTTCTAGCGAACTGCACTTAGCGTTACATTTATTTATGCATCCATATATTACCCGAGGCAGTCCTGAAAATCAGAAAAGGATCTTGCAATACTTTCCTTTGTTCAACTCGAAACTATTGTGGAATAGCTGTACTCACCAAAGGTGAAGTGGTAATTCATTCGCACTTCAATCATTCATGCACACCCGTCCAAGCAGGCATTTGATAATTAACCATTTGGTGACCACGGGTATGTGTCAAGTCGTGCGTCCGAGGATGCGCGGGAGAAAGTCCGTTGCGCGTGTCCGTCGAAAGTAGGTCACCCCGCCCACTCCGCGCGCGGCGCACCCCAACTGAGGTCATGACATGACATTACAGTAGCACCAAATGCCAGTGGAGCGAATGATTTGCAGTTGTCCGTGTTATCTTCCCTTTGGCTGACTGCTGTGGACCAAGCGCAAATCATATGCCCCACAGACAACTGCAACGTTTGTCAAAGATCGCGGGCTGACGCGCCGCATGCGACGGCTGCGTCGTGACCTAAATTTGACGGAGGCGCGCAACGAAGCGCACTCGGACGCGCGCGGCAATTTGCGCGGCGAAGTTCGTAACTATTTGAACGACTGCAGCGCCTATCATTGGGGCCCAAATTCGAAGTAAAGTAAATTAGAAGGATAATCTAACCCTGCTAAACTAGTCTACTTTGAGTTTGTGCCCCGAAAATTGGTGTCAAAGACGTTTAAATCGTCACGAACTTCGCCGCACAATTTGCCGCGCGGGTCCTCGGACGCACGACTTGACCGTCCCCCGGTGACCGCAGTGGCTCACTATCTCGTTTGATGGATCTTCACGCAAAATTCATGTTGAGCACTTAAGCGCAGGGGTTCTACATTTTAACAACATAAGTGTTCTGCACTGGTGAGGCAAGTGAACGAAAATCTTTTAACCTTACTAAACAATAAAACGCCCTACGGAGAGGTACATGGAATGTGCAAAGGATTTTATCGTCGAATAATAGTATATCCTTCACTCTACTGGTAGAACAGTATGCATATAGCGTTCTACATTGGGATTCATCGAGAGCAACCTGGTTTCAGGCCCTTCAAGCCTCCCTCCCTCGGGTCGCGTATTACCTGAGGAGGATGGTTGTACAGAATGAAATATATTACGTGTTGGGATTCCGTAATCCAGAAGGTTCAAGATTCCAGTCAAATACTTAAAACTGGGATTTTACGATGTGGGGAATTGACTGGAGCTTTATAAGGAACTTTGGTTTCAAAACCTGAAGCAGACTTTTGTAGTATGCTTTACAAGGTTGGAAGCTACTCACCACGTAGCTGCCGTGAAGTATTTTCCGATCGGTGGATTTTGTAGCATTAAAGATTTAAAATAGAACTTTGACTATGCCCTGATAATAAGCTCCACCAAGCAGGAACTGCAGAGGCAGAATTGTACTCTGAACTAAGAGCATAGAGTAGACTTATATAGTCAGCCTGCCGAGTTCAATTTATTTACTATGGAGGTGGCATTGAAGATTTTCCGAGTCAGCGGGACTGTACCGTCTGGAGGTCACCTGAAGGTATTCAAGCATGTGGATGAGAGCATTATAAATCATTTCTGCACTGTGCTTGTTATCACATGGGTACAGTGCCTCACTTGTTTTACTCTGATTTCCGCCAGAGCTAATTCTCCGGCTTCTTTAGAATTAGCTATTCCTGTTGCTCCTTCTTATTCCTACTGATCCCAGTATTTAGAGAGCCAATCCAATACACTGTGTCACCACTATTTTAAGCACCTTCACCCTTTCCACCACTTGCACATCCCCTCTGTGCCAAAAGAAGAAAGCATTACGTACTAATCCTCAAGAATGAGGCTTTCAGCTCCTAACTAACAATAACTCGCAATTAAAGTTACAAATGTCTAGATACGGCACTGATGAGGCTTTTTACTTCTGTATACTGTAGCGATTCTAAACATTTGAAATAAATTTTGTCTTCTTATTCTAAATATGTAATACTGTAATACTCATGGTAGTAATAGTAATAACAGTAATAAAGTTTCCAATTCTTACAGTCGATATTGACAGGTTGATGCATAATTATCGCGGATTTTTTCGCGGCTTCTTTTCTCTCGATACAATTTGAATATCGAATAAAGAATGGAATTTGCTTCTACGGTCGCCCTACTCACCAACAAAAACTTCTAGGGGTTACCACGTCAATCGTCCATTGAAAAATTTGCTAACAAACAGAATTTTTGACGAAGAGGATGGCTCGATGGCCGACGTGAAGGCACGGATCACCTCCAAGAATCGAAACTCCTTCGTTTCTGGAATTCGACTGCCTAGCAGATGGGTAACAGCGCTGGACTTAGATGGTGGATAAGTTCCGGAGTAATTATTTGAACATGCCTTTGCGAAATCTTTTTATCGTTTCTTCAAGTAAAATTTGCTGAATAAAGCCGCAATATTTATGTATCAACCTAACAATTCGTCCGAAACTGTCAGAGAGGCCAAAAGCAAATCAAGTAAACGAGGTACGACAGGCGAGTGAGTGAAGGTGTGAAGAATGTGTGAAGAAACAGATTTGTACATGAATACCGTCCCCCTTTTCGAGGCAAGCTACTAATTCCTTGCTCACGTGATTCAATATGTCATATCTTCAAGTACAGGTAACTTCTGCTGTCGAATTGCTTCTTACCATTAGAATGCTTTCTACTGTTGAGTCTGGTTGTCTAAATCTGCCTATTGACAAGAAGATAGCACCTGATGTACACTTCTTGTAATTTAATGCCGGCAAGGTAATCATTCGTCTTGTCAAACGTGGAATTGAGATGGCGACAGAAGTTTGCACAAACCCGGAAAAACTCCAAGGGTCAAACAAGAGCTTGAGCAACTCCGAACAGGTCCATGAAGTTACGGATGAAACGCAACTTCTTATCACAGCTCTCGATGTGAGACTTTTCATGGACGACCCCAAGTACCATACTCTCCCGCAAAAGCGCAGCGATGGTATACATAGTCATTGCGACAACAGCGATTGGTGCCATGACGCGCCGAAAGCTACCAACGTGCGGGCATTTCACGTAATGACCGTCATCAAGGAAACCATCACTCAGGATCTCTCCGCTCGTACGCTACTGCCAATTCAGCTTCACCGGCTGGAACAATCTTTGTTTGAGGGTGGTGTTGCTAACTTATACGACTTTTGATGCAGATTCAAGGCTGCGCTTCACGAAAGTGGCAGCCTTTCGTTGTTCACCAGATTCTTTTCATCTGGCAAATTCGCTGAAAGACAGATCCGACATAGAAGCCAGAATATCACCTTTCAGCCACCCATGCTCTCAGAGGACGATACGATCGCCCCCAATTCACTCACGGTCTTCCCCACCGGAGACTGGTGTGTCTACCAACACGAGGCACCAGGGCATCGGCACGACAGGATACCCCTTGCCAGATTCAGTCATTCATCTTGCAACGGTACGGTACAGAAATACCTCCTTCCCTCCTNCCCCCCCCCCCCCCCCCCCCCCTATCGTGGGCATGACCCTGATCGTAGAAGTTCCTTCACGAAACCCAACTGAAAGTCAATAAACTGGGGAACATTAATAACGGAAAAATGGAGCCTACCTGCAATTTTGAATGGAATCAACGAAGTGATTGAAAAGCTCGGAAAGCCGGGAAATAGCGCAGTCCCTACGTCTAGAATCCTAAATCGCTACTAATTCTGTTTACGTCGATCATTTGGGTATACCAACACCAGAGCCACGATGTGTTGTTGACGCGACTCATACAATCATACGTCGAGATGCTGCCATCACAATATGCCACACTCCAATCTTCACATCACTGCTAATTTCCTTTGTGATGCCTGGGAAGACCTCCAATCCGGGCTCCCTAGTCGGACTTGTGGTCACTTTGACTGGGAAGCCCGACACGTATGGCACCATCACAACCATTTTTGTACTCACTGCAATCAGAAGATACCGCCCATCAGATTCTGGCAGAAGACCCAATTCAACGGAATGTGTTCGACGGAATATTCTTAACCATAACCAGAATGGCACTCACGTAGTATTACTCCAGAAGAGCATCTTGCGAAGAA